ACAAAAGGCTTGAGGGCGGGATGGATGGACAAACCAATTCCGATGGCCGAACCGGATCTTAACACATTGTGGCCGATTGGCCCGTATCACCTCAACCGGCCCCCGCCAGGGTCTGTACAACTTGGGGGATGTGCCCACGGGCATTTGAGGGCAGTGCAGCCAAGCCCTGTTCCCCGGGGCCCACTGTTTACCCGGCACGCGAAGGCCCCTTAGACATTCATTGGCCGATTGCTGTGAAGCGGACTTTTATTTCGAAGCCTCACGTGCTTCCGAAACCCGTTAAAGGGTGACATGCATGGGTTCTGAGATGGTATCCTCGGCTTCCTAAAAGCGTATTTAGCTGGATGTCAATAGGAGAGGGGGCGGGGGGGGGTTTGGTTCTCTCCCTTACATTAGAAAGAATGGCGAGTCGCCTGTGGAAACGTGCGGAGCCATTCTATAGGCTGCAAGTACCCCTGGAATGTGCAGGTCCCAGTCTTTCTGGGACGCATCGACCTGCTCACTCCACATAGAGGTTAGAGTCCTGTTAAGTCGCTCCACCATCCCTTCCATCTGGGGATGATAGGGCAACTTGCGGACCTTCTTCGTGCCCAAAAGTTCGCACACCTCTTGCAATAATTTTGATGAAAAATGTTTCCCTTGGTCAGGAAAGAGGCGCTCCGGGGCCCCCTTATCCAGCACGTATCCGTGCAAAAATGCCTCGGTGATGTGGCGGCCGATTGATTGGGGAGCGGTCAAGCCACAGGCCAACGGGAGAAATACTCCACACCCACCAGCAAATATTTATTACCTTGGCCTGTGACGGGGAAAGGTCCAAGTATATCGAGTGCGACAAGCTTGTTGATACGGGAAACTTTAATAGATTTCAAGGGCGGACAGCGTTTAGCAGATGGCAGTTTGCAGCTAGCACATTGCACACAACTCTTCAGGATGTTCTTGACGTTTCCCACCATTCCAGGCCAAAAAATATCAAGCTTAAGGGTAGCCAGGTTTTTGTGAACTCCCAGGTGCATCAGCCGCTCGTGGATGGTCAAAATTAGTCTACCCCTGAGGCTTGTGGGTACCACGATACTGTAGCGACGCAAGCCACCGACCCAACACATTAAAAGACCTTCCTTGAAAATGACAGGAGCTACCCTGCGTTGGCTCGACACATCGCCCGGATCACTGACGCGGCGCCGCAATTTCAATAGGGAGGCGTACTCCGCCTGGAGGCGCCCCCATTCGTCGTGGCTCAACCCAAGGGGAGCATCGCATGCGACGGAATTGCCGTGATTATCAGGGGTGGAGGTCCCTGCCGATGCGACAACCGGGGGAGGCACAGGCACGGTAGTCAATCTGCATCAGCCCGAACCCGAGAAGCACGCACATTCGTCGCCCGTGGGAAGCCGCGAAAGCGCGTCCGCATTAGTGTGCCGCGCACCCTTATGGTAAGACACCCGGAATGAGTAGTCCTGCAGGATTTCCGACCAGTGGGAGAGCTGGCCGGATGGTTGCTCAACACATAAAGCATACTGGAGGGCGACGTGATCGGAACGCACCTCAAATCGCCTGCCATACAGATAGGGCCGGTACTGCTGTATGAAGACTATGGCAAGCAGTTCCTGACGCGTCACGCAGTAGCGTTGCTTAACCGGGGACAGCATTCTGCTGCCATAGGCCACAACCCTCTCCACCCCATTGACCACCTGGGACAACACTGCGCCAATGCCTGTGTTGCTAGCCTCAGTGTCCAGGACGAATGGTAATGAAAAATCTGGGTATCTGAGGAGAGGAGCGTCTACCAGCCCATCGCAGAGCGCAACAAATGCTGCCTCTTCCTCTGCTCCCTATCAAAATTTCTGGCCCTTTGTAGTCAGGGTGTGGAGGGGTTTGGCAATGGTGGCGAACCCGGGCACAAAGCGGCGGTAGTAGGATGGCAAATCCGATAAAGGTACGCACCTCACCCACCAACTTGGGGGTTGGCCATGTGCGCATGCATGCACGCAGTTTTATCAAGATCTGTCGCAATACCCGACTCGCTGACTATGTGCCCAAGGTACAGACGTCTGCAACAGGTGGCATTTCTGAGGTTTAAAGTTGAGGCTAGCCACTCGCATTTTAAGAAAAACAGCGCTTAGCCGGACTAAGTGCTCATCAAATGTGCGGCTAAACACGTACAGTATATCAGGCAGGAGTCCCATTGGAGTCCTGCCAGGACCAACTCCATGAGCCTCTGGAACGTCGCCGGGGCTGAGTGGAGGCCCATTGGAAGCCAGTTAAACTCAAATAAACCTTGCGGCGTACGAAAAGCAGTCTTAGGCTTTGAACAATCATCCAAGGGCAGTTTCCAGAATCCCAAAAGCAGGTTGAGCATCGAAAAAAATCGTGCCCCTGCCAGCGCGTCCAGCAAATCATCCATACGTGGCAGGGTGTACGCGTCCGCCACAGATACTTTGTTAAGCTTGCGGAAGTCCACGCAAAAGCGTAAACTCCCGTTGTGCTTCTTCACGAGCATAATCGGAGCACCCTATGGGCTCGTGGATAGGGAAATGTCGGCGGCCAACATATCGTTGACCGCCTGGCGCACATGTTCCTTTTCAGCAGGACTCAAGCGGTAAGGGTTTTGCCGAATGGGGGCAGTCATCTGTGTCAATATGGTGGCGCAGGAGGGCCGTGCGACCAATGTCAAATTGACCCCTGCTGAAAATGTCCCAAAACTCGAGCAACAGCATGTGCAGCGCGGACCTCTGGGCGCTGGACAAGTTTTCGGAGCAGAGGGCATCTGCCCAGCTGTCCTTGCCAATTAGCCCTTGGTCCGTGTTCGGCACGACCCCTACACCCCCCATTACATTACCATCTACCTTCGCGGCCGATGCGTGGGTGAGCACCGTGCCCACCTGTATAACTGACGCGTCCGGCCCAACATTTAGCATCTGAATGAACGGCTGCTGGTCCCACGAGACCAGCGTCGGAGCTCCCACGAGCATCATCCCCCAGACCTCTCTGTTAGAGGGTCCCAACACGACCCCTCCCACGGTGGCCTCCCAGTTGAGCGGCTTCTGCAGCCGCAGGGGCACAAGTATTTGCGCACCGGGAGGAATCGTAACCGTGATGGTAGCTAGCGCTTGGACAGTCGGGCGAGGAAAGACAAGAACGCAATGTGACGGGCCCGAGGGCAATTCCAAACATCCCTGATCTGTCAAAATCTTCAGGGGCATTTTACCGAGAAAGTCTATTCCCAGCAGACAGGGCACGACCAGGGAGGCGGAAACAAGCACAGGCCCTTCCAATTTAATATCAGCAATGGACACATCTGCCGATATCTGGTCTATAATGCCTAACAAACCCCTATTAGCGGCAAAGTAAGGAACGGTAATGGGGCACAAGGAACGACAACCCCGTGGCAAGATATTAAAAATATATATTCATAAATAATGGTGGCGGATAACCCCGTATCGATGAGCACCCGCACTTCCACCCCCTGTATTGTTCCGATGACTGCCGATGATCCCGCTGCCACGGCAACAACACAGCTGGCCAACTGAGACCACTGGGCCGTCCAGAGCGGCCAGCCTTTACCCAACACAACCGACCCATCACGTGCCACGATCCGACAAGGGCGAACGACCGGACACGGATCAACACGAGGATGAGATGGGTGAGGTAAGAATGAGGCCGAGTGTGTGGTGCACCGCGACTTGCCATAGAGCCCCGATCTCACCTTTGTTCCCTGTCTGTATCGCCAGGGATCCGTGCTTCTTATTCACAAGTTATATTTTGATATAATGAGGTTAAAGATATAGCTAAGCTTCGAACTTTACTGGTGTATTTTAATAACCCCAGTCAGCTCGTAATGATTAACTGCCCTTGGGTGGATTTCGCTGTCCCGGGGAGGTTCGTGAACCCTGCTGTTTCCGTCTTGTGTTTTTTTATTATAGGTTTTTTCCCTCATGGCGGCCTTCTCTTGAAGTCAACTGGGGATTTCCCACATAATTTCATTAGCCCCCCCTTGGGTTTGCCATTTTTTATTACATTATATGACTTCCCAAGCAGGCATGTGAGTAATTATCCTCCAGCTGTTAATTTGTGTGGCAAGCCAGGAGGCAGGGGGGGTGACTCAACCTTTCCGTGCCCAAGCGCTACATCACGATCAAAATTATTACAGAAAAATAGTCAAAATCACTCTTAATACAAAATTTTGGAAAATGCATATATACAACATGCTCTTCGAGTGTTTGTGTGAGATGATACAAAACTTCGAGTTGCTGAGGCGATTAAGCAAGCACCATATGAATGCTAATATTATTATAACATAGCATAACATAGACAATGCTTCGGAGCTTATTGGTTCTGGCTCCTGGTTAGAGATCTACCCAACCCACAGGTCTGCAAATACTGGCTGCTCTTACTCTGCAGGATGAACCTAGGAATTGAGTGTTCAACTTCATGTTATTTTCATTAAAGGCCTGTGACAAAGGTGAATCTATTGGAGCTTCATTGTCTCAAGCTTACATATCTACCAGGTCTCCATTTGACTTTGTATTGTCTAAGAAGTCCACCCACACCTCCACTTCCACAAACTGCTGGGAGTTGCCTTGCTCTGCCTCACAGTAAGAATTCCTCTCCTGCTTCACGTTGCCTCCATCGACGTGAAGGTCCAATTTTGGAGTTGAATCTTCATATTCACATTTTATCGTTACTTCTTCGCTATTCACCATCACTTCTTCACATTTGACCTTCACTTCTTCACTCTTCACCATCACTCCTTCACATTTAACCTTCACTTCTTTGCTTTCCACAATCACTTCTTCACATTTCACCTTTGCCTCTTCAAAATTCACCTTGATACATTTAATAGCGTCCAAGCTGGAATTCACTTCTGGTTCTTTTTTCAGGAGGGATGGGCTCATTGCAGCACTTTGACTTTCACAAGCCAATTTCAGACTCCGCTCCTTGGGGATCTTCTGATGCCTGTGTGTTCTCTGGTGTCTTTGAAGATGTGATGACAGTGCAAATGCCTTCCCACACAGAGTGCACTTGAAGGGGTTAGCTCCCGTGTGTGTTCTCTTGTGATATTTAAAAGCAGATGAACCTGAAAATGCCTTCCCACACACACTGCACTTGAAGGGTTTCTCTCCTGTGTGTGTTCTCTGGTGGCTCTGAAGAACTGATGACTGTGCAAATGCCTTCTCACACACAGTGCACTTGAAAGGTTTCTCTTCTGTGTGTGTTCTCTGGTGTTTTTTAAGATTTGATGACTGTGCAAATGCCCTCTCACACACACTGCACTTGAAGGGTTTCTCTCCTGTGTGTGTTCTTTGGTGTTTTTGAAGATCTGATGACTTTGCAAACGCTTTATCGCACAAAAGGCACCTGAAGGGTTTCTCTCCTGTGTGTGTTCTCTGGTGTCGTACAAGAGGAGATGAACCTGAAAATACCTTCCCACACAAACTGCACTTGAAAGGTTTCTCTTCCGTGTGTGTTCTCTCGTGGTCGTGAAGAATTGATGACCGTGCAAATGCACTCCCACACACAGTGCACTTGAAAGGTTTTTCTCCTGTGTGTGTTCTCTGGTGGCTCTGAAGATTTGATGACTGTGCAAATGCCTTCTCACACATATTGCACTTAAAGGGTTTCTCTCCTGTGTGCGTTCTCTGGTGTTTTTTAAGATGTGATGACCGTGTAAACGCCTTCCCGCACACAGTGCACTTGAAGGGTTTCTCTCCTGTGTGTGTTGTCTGGTGTATTTTAAGATGTGATGACTCTGTAAATGCCCTCTCACACATAGTGCACTTGAAGGGTTTCTCTCCTGTGTGTGTTCTCTGGTGTCTCTGAAGAACTGATGACTTTGCAAATGCCTTCTCACACACACTGCACTTGAAGGGTTTCTCTCCCGTGTGTGTTCTCTGGTGGCTCTGAAGAACTGATGACCATGCAAATGCCTTCTCACACACAGTGCACTTGAAGGGTTTCTCTCCTATGCGAGTTCTCTGGTGCCGTGTAAAGTTTCCAGTACGATCCGTGCTGTTTGCATACTGGTCGCATTGTTTCCTTCTTGTATCGAGCTGCGCTGAGTGCCTTTGGTCCATCAGACGAATTCTGCAGAGGAAGCGTCAGAGGAAGCGTGAGCTGCAGTCCGAAAAACATATCCACACCATCTACGTCAGTATCAAGGCACACAGGAATGCACATATATACACAGTCACATATTACTTACACATCTATACTTTTCGATTTAAAGCTTTCGTGACTGCAGGGATCCATCTTCTTGGTTCTTTCGGTAAAGTCACGTAGAAGGGAAGTAACCGAAACGTCGTGAGAATTATTTTATTTTATTATGTTTTATTTTTATTATTTTATTACTTCCCTTCTACGTGACTTTACCGAAAGAACCAAGAAGAGACATCTATACTTATTCGTATATTCATGATATAGTGAAAATAATTCCCCAATTCATAACGCGGGCTGTTAAGGCACACAATGAGAGGGCCAATGGTCATACATATGCCTGGATGCTTTAGTATCTTCAAAATGAATGTTTACCCAAAACTCCAAGCACACAATTTCGGCTGTCTAGCTATGAAAGGAATATTAAAGAAAAATTCACGAGCCTCCTCCACAGAGGCCGATCTTGACACCCATGGAACCAGTCATCGGCAAGTCCACTCAGCTCCACATCCTCCTGTACCACATCACTCCATCTCTTCTCTAGCCCATGCCGCGCACGTTTCGCCCCTTTGATACGGCCGAAAAAAAGCTGTTTAGGCATGCGGTGACTTGGCATGTGGGTTACATGGCCCAGCCAACGCAGCCTTGACTGCCGGAGGAGCTAACCGATTTGTGAGCTCTTCACAGAATCCAACCTAGTTAAACCCAGGATGGGTCGTAGGCAGGCCAGCCTAAATGTTTATGATCAGTGAAGATGTTCCATTAGGGGGTCCACATTTCGCAATGACCGTGGCCAAGAAGACCTGAAGCTTCGTGCAGAGCGATAGACCAGGTAGCTTCCACACAGCGTTATGCAACCGATGAAAAGATAATGCCGCTCAACTGATTCGGAGTGAAACCTCTGCTGTTAAACCGGAGCCAGTCATGAGCACACTGCCCAGGTATGGGAAACTCTCCACTCTCCACAACTGCCCTATCACCAATTGGGAGTTGTTGGGGTGGAGTGTCCGATGATACAAAATACCCAGGAAGGTGCTTAGTTTTGGTGGTGCTGATGGTGAGGCCCCACCTCTTAGTGGAATGCTCCAGGTTCAGCAGCAGCACCTCCAACTCCTCCTCTGAGTGAGCAGCAATTACTAGATCATCGGCATAGCTAACATGGTTGAGCAATAGGGAGCAATCCCTTGACTGCACCCGGACATCGATCAGTCTCCCATTGTATCTGTACCAGATGGAAATTCCTCCGGTACAGCTATTGAAGGCTTCACGAACTACGTGGTAGAAATAGATGTTAAATATTGTGGGAGCCAGAAGACATCCCTGTCGCACCCCAAGGTGTACAGGGAATGGTTCCGACTCCTGGCCACGTAGTTTTACCCCGGCCCGCTCACCATCATGAAGGTCCTTAATGATCGTGAGCAGAGGGTCAGGGACTCCGAAAGCATGAAGAACTACAGAGCCCAGGCCTACTGATGGTATCATAGGCCTTTACCAGGTCAATAAAGCAGAGATGTAGGTCTTGTTGGAATTCCCTACACATCTGCTGTAGCAGAGGGACAGAAAATATGGCATCTGTGCAGGACCGCCCTTTCCTGAAACCGCTTTGGGGCTCCGCAAGCCTCTCCTCAGCATGCCTAGCAAAGTGATGTTGAATAATCCTTGCCAGGACCTTTCCTGGCACACTGAGGAGTGAGATGCCCCTGTAGTTATTACAGTGTGTGCGGTCCCCCTTCTTAAAGAGAGGGACCACCAGGGCATCCTTCCAGTCCTGTGGAACCCATCCAGTGGAACAGACTGTTGTTATGATGTCATGTAGGGCAGTCCGTGCCCAAATGCCACCTTCCCTCAGCATTTCGCTTGGGAGATCATCTCTGCCCGGTGCCTTTCCTGTTCTCAGATCGCCTTCAGTACTTCCTCAACAGATGGCAACTCAGCCAGCCACTCTCAGGGGGTGACTTCTTCCAATATTTGAGGCACCGCAGCATCGGCAGTGTCATCCCCACTTTGTCCCATGTTGTTATCCAGGCTGAGGGATGTCCCTTCCCCCAGGACCTCACATAAATGCTCAGCAAATCTGCAAATCTGCAAACCTGTTCCTAGAGGTTCTTTCCCCTAATGATGGTAATAGGTGTGGCGCTGCAGGTTACTTTTTGATGGAATTAAAGAGCGATTTGTGATTGCGGGCCATTGAGGCCGACTCAATCTCCTCAGCAACCCGCGACCACCACCCATCCTTGCAGCGCCTCACGGCTCTCCGAACCTCCGAGCGAAGGTTGCGGTAAGCCTCCTCATTCTCTGACGTGGGATGCTGTAGCCAATGAGAATGGGCTTGTCGCTTTTTCTCAGCCAGCTTGAACACCTCCTTTGTCAGCCAGGGTCTCTGGGGAGGTCTGGACCGTGTACCCAAAGCAGCCATTGCAGCTGCATGAGCCACAGTCCTAAACCTTGCCCATTACCCCTCGACATCAGGAGGAGTAGGGGACGATGCCAACCCCAGCCGCAAGCAATGATTACATTCTCGCTTGCAACTTTCATCAGCTAGCTGAGACCATGCCACTAAGGGTTTGAATGGGGCCCTGAGGGTACACCCACCACTGGAGTGGAAGCATGGCAGGCGCATCTTATAGATGACAAGTCAATGGTCGGTGGGCAGATCAGCTCCACGGTAGGTCCTGGTGTTAAGGACATGGGCCCGCACCCGCTGTTCCGTCACTATGTAGTCCAGCAGATGTTCTTGCTTGGACCCGCCATGCATCCATGATGTTGTGTGGATGCGCCAATGCCGGAACAGTGTGTTGGTAATTACAAGCCCATGGGCTGCACAAAAATCAAGCAGCCTCATGCCATTGTTATTGAGCTCATCTGGCCCATGCCTTACAATCACTCCAGACCAGGTACCAGCAACATGACCAACTCGGGCATTGAAGTCACCCAACAAGATGACTCTATCCCGAGGGGCCACTTTAGCTAGCACCTGTGACAGGAGGCCATAGAAGGCTTCTGACCCATCGGCCTTGCCTGCATCCCTCCACAGATGTTCCGTCTTCAGTGGGGGCATAAGTAACCACAACCACCACTCCTCGCCTCTGGTTGATGGGAAGGTGAGCCCAAAGTAGTCTGGGGCTTTCACCTTCCCACACCTCACCGCCATGCTCCCATGCCCCCTTGATTATTTTGTTCAGAAGAAGAGCCACTCCCTGTTGTTTGGCAGTCTCCTGCCCCGAGAAGAGGACTGTCAACCCCTCATGGTGGCAGGAGCCAGAGCCGGTCCACCGGACCTCCTGAATACCACAGAGATCCAGGCGGTACCGGTCCAGCTCCTGACAGAGGAGTGGCAGCCTCTCCTCCGCAGTGAGCATTCTAACATTCCACGTGGCCACAAGTAGTGGTTTTTTGTTGTTTCTGGAGGAGCCCCGAAGGTAAGGATTCAGTCTCCTGGTTCCGCCAAATGGAGTTTGGCCAGGAGACGTCATAGACGCCTGTCCCCCCGGGGCCTGCGGCACAAGCTTATTAATTAAAATTTTCCGTCGTGGTTTAGCAATAATTAATTGAAGGTGGAGGGGTTACTAGCCCCTCGCACCTGTGCAGATGCCCCTTTTGGCCGCTGTGGTGGTCACAAACGCCATGAGGGAAAGGCCAATCGGAATTGCCCCCCCCCCCCAACAGAACTGCCCACGACAGCGTTGCCCGTCTGGCACCTCCAAAGGGAGTAAAGGGGGTTGTTTTGCCGGACACAGTCACACATGACTTACACATCTATACTTATTCATATATTCATGATATAGTGAAAAAGATTCCCCAATTCATTATACGGGCTGTTAGGCACATAAGGAGAGGGCCAATGGTCATAAATATGCCTGGATGCCCTAGTATCTTCAAAATGAATGTTTACCCAAAACTCCAAGTACACAATATTGGCTGTATAGCTACGAAAGGAATATTTAAGAAAATTTCAGCTAACATAGCAAAGGGTGTTGAAAATAATACTATTTGTATTATGCAGAAATGCATTAATTAATGTTCAATCAAAAATTCGAGGTGTGAAGCCAGGCTCAGATTTGCTTGAATGCTCGGATGAACAGATCTAACTTCAGCTGCATATGTGCTGAGATATTTTCCTGTTTCCATTCTTATAAAAAGTCCCAGAGGAAAACTAAAATAAACTATTCTTTTGATTTAACCTACATGTTCAATAGTTAATACACATTACTGCAAATACAAACTTGACACTGTCACACACTGGCATGGTAAAATGGTGTTGGTGTGTCCAGAACCATGCCTGGCCATCTTCATCTGCTCAGTATTAATGCTTCCTCAAAATATTACTGTCCTGGTCACAGTCAGTGTGCACTGCTGTCGTGAAAGCAGGTACCACCAAAGTCGGTATGCACTGCTGGCATGATAGTAGATACTGCTATCGAGTTTGTAGATATAGAGTTGGTAGATACTAAAACAGTCAGTATATACCACTACGGTCAGTAAATACTGCCACAGTCAGTAGATACTACTATACGGTCAATAAATACTACTACGGTCAGTAGCTACTAGAGTCAGTAGATACTACTATAGAGTGAGTAGATACTGCTATAGAGTTAGTAGTTACTGTAACGGGTTCCGGAGACACTTGTAGAGGTAACTTATTTATTACAATACAACACTCCAACAGTCCAACTCTCCAACAGTCCTGATACTCTGTTACAGCCTAGGTACACAGCCTAGATACACTACTCTGGCTACGCTCTGGAACTCGCCCTCACAAGGTCGTAGAGTCGGGAGTTCCAGAGTCCCATCACTGGCTCTCACAGCGTCCCAGGGTCTTCAGATGGCTGGTCGTGGGTCTTGAGTTACAACTGGGCCCTGATCGTCCAGGGAGCTCTCCTTTTATGCCTAGTCCAACGAGGGGTGGGGCCGTGTGCGCCACCAGACATCCCACAGAGCACACACAGCCCCCCCCCCCCCCCCCCCCGTTGGCGGCGCCAAGAGGCTTAAGCGTCTGACCCGCCTGAGAACCCACGCCTGGCGCCAAGGGGATTAAGCACCTGGCCCGCCCAGGGAGCCAGAGCCCCCAGCAGCCCCTCCCTTCTTATGTCACTACATTACTACTATAGTCAGTGGATACTACTGTAGTGACATAAGAAGGGAGGGGCTGCTGTAGGCTCTGGGTTCCCAGGTGGGTCCAGACGCGTAAGCCTCTGGGCGCCAGGCACTGGGTTCCCAGGGGGTCCAGACGCTTTTAAGCCTTTGGGCGCCAGGCGTTGGGTTCCCAGGCGCTTAAGCCTTTTTGGCGCCGCCAACGGGGGGGGGGGGGGGGGGGGGGCTGTGTGTGCTCTGTGGGATGTCTGGTGGCGCACACGGCCCCACCCCTCGTCGGACCAGGCATAAAAGGAGAGCTCCCTGGACGATCGGGGCCCAGTTGTAACTCAAGACGCAAGACCCACGACCAGCCATCTGAAGACCCTGGGATGCTGTGAGAGCCAGCGCTGGGACTCTGGAACTCCCGACGCTACGACCTTGTGAGGGCGAGCGTAGCCAGAGTAGAGTATCTAGAGTATCTAGGCTGCGTAGCTAGGCTGTGTACCTAGGTTGTAACAGAGTATCAGGACTGTTGGAGTGTTGTATTGTAATAAAGAAGTTACATCTACAAGTGTCTCCAGAACCCGTTACATTTGGCGTCAGAGGTGGCAATGGAGACAAGAAGTAAGCCACGTACCTTCAGTCCTGACGGCGATGTTGAGGAGCAAGCGGCGACGGGGCAGCCAACTCGGGCCCACAACAACGCCGCACCGCCGGCTGAGCAGGCGTCCACCACACCTGCCGATCCTCCTCCAGCGTCGGGAGCAGCAATGGAGGAAACGCTGCTTCGCCTCACCGAGCTGCTTCACGCCACCGTCTCCATCCTGGGCGAGATGCGTCGCTCACAGGCGGAGGCAGGAGGGAGAGAGGCGGCGCAGCGACCGCGCCATCCCGCCGGCTCCAACACAAAACACATCCGGGTGTGTCGTCACTTCTGCGGGGGGAGCAGTGGCCGCTGGGAGCGACGTCACTTCCGGGCCCAGCGTGGGCCATCCCGATGACGCCGCGTCATCAGCGCTGCGTCCCTCACCGCCGGGTGACAGCTGTTGGCATCCTAGCAACGCCGCGTCATCAGCGCTGCGTCCCTCACCGCCGGCTGACAGCTGTTTGCGACCCAGCAACGCCGCGTCATCAGCGCTGCGTCCCTCACCGCCGAGTGACAGCTGTTGGCAACCGCCGAGTGAGAGCGCTGCGAACGCGCAGCCAGCTTCAGCCGGGTTGCCAGGCAACGGAAGCTTGGCTCACGTCCAGCAACGCCTGCCGGCACTCAAGGCATTTTCTTCAGAGGGGGGTGAGTGGGCAGCGTTCGAACGCCGGTTCGTCTCTCTTATAGAGACGTCCGGCTGGTCGGAGTATGAAGCGCTCCAGGGCCTCCCGGCCATGCTCGACGACGACTCCCTCGCAGCACTCCTTGCTGTGCCACGCGCGAAACGTGCCACGCTCACGGATGCCCTTCATCAGATGCGGCTGATTTATGGACCCCCATCCGAAGCACGTCACCGCTTCGATGCGAGGAGGAAGAAGGCCTCCGAGTCGGCGATGGGGTACCGCAGCGCGCTGCTGGCCATGGCGAAGGTTGCCTACCCTCGCATGGATGAAGACGCTGTGGAGTCACTCGTGCTGCAGAAGCTCATGAGCTTGGCCCGCCAGCTTCGAGTTGCCATGCCGACAGCCGACGACGACTTTACGTCGCTACGTGCTGCCAGGTGCATCCAAGCACACCTACATTGCGATGAGGACACGACCATCGCCGCCTGCGCAGGCCCACCTGATGCACAAGCCTATGACGTGCATTCGGGGCCTCATCAGGCCTTCGCAGCAACAGAAAATCGCGGATCGTCCAACTGGCGATCCCAGCGAGATCACCACCAGCGGGACCGGCCAACCTTGCACCAGGACGGAGCGTCCATCGTCTGCCACAACTGTGGCCTTCGGGGCCATGTGGCGTCCGGCTGCCGGGTCCCCCGACGCCGGACTTCAGGACCTCCGGCGCCTCGGCCACCACCTTATCCTCGGCATACCCAGGCGAGTCACGACACCTCGCACTCTCGGCCCCCACTTACAACAAGCACGCACCCTCACACCACACAGGGGGGTCATGCTTCGGAGGAGGGGGATTCGGGCCCATCATTGAACAACCGGGCGCTCGGACCGGGTCAATGGTCCGAGTTGGCCCATAGGGTCGTTGCCGCTGCGGCAGGGTCCTCTGCCGTAGTGGGTTCCATCGAGGGCGTTGATGTTCGTATGTTGATCGATACGGGTGCGTCGGCGACCATCATTTCAGACATAATTTATAACATTTTGCCCGATACATGCCGTCAATTGCAGCCAGTTGATGTGCCATGCTATGCCGCAAATGGGGGTTCGTTGGGCATCACCGGACAGATCAATGCTCAGATCCGCATTGCTGACGTCCAATTAGTTGGGCCCATTTTGGTCTCATCAACCCTCGCCGTTCCGTGCCTCCTCGGAACAGATTTCTTGGGGAAGATGCCCATTAAAATTCTCATTAACAAAGGGTGTATTGAGCTCCCCTCCGGCCGACGCATGGCCTTCCTACCCACACCCACTCGGTTGCACTCCGCATCTACGACGGTGCAGGCGTTGGCGGCGTGCACAATTCACATTCCTCCTGGCTCTCAGATGTTAGTTCCCCTCCGGTTTCGTAAACCCCTTGATTACGACGCGTTCATGGGGGGTGCTGTGATCGGGCCTTCGCGTTCAGCTGAGCGGGTGCCGGACCTCGTGTGTGCACAAACGCTCGTGCGAAGCGACCACGACCCCTTTATCCAGGTCCTTAACGCGGGATTGGAAACGGCCGTTATCTGTCAGGGAATGGTGCTTGCTCACGCGACGCCAGCCCCGCCAGAAGATGTGATCGTGGGTCACGTAGGGGGCGAGTTCTCTTCCGTTGCCAAGCCAGGTCCTGACACAGGATGGCTCGACGCGCTTTGCTCCACTTCTGCCGATTTGTCACCATTACAGCATGCTAAATTACGCACGCTGCTGAGCGATTTCGCCGACGTTTTTAGTCAAAGCAAATTCGACATTGGCTGCACTAAATTGCTAAGCCACCACATCGACACGGGTGATGCCGCTCCAATTCGTCAAAACCCATTCCGGTTGAGCCCGGCCGAAAAGGAACATGTACGGGTGGCCGTCAACGATATGTTGGCGGCCGATGTCATTGCGCCATCAAATAGCCCATGGGGGGCGCCGATCGTTCTTGTTAAGAAGCACGACGGGAGCCTCCGCTTTTGTGTTGACTTCAGGAAACTTAATAAGATTTCTGTGGCCGACGCCTACCCGCTTCCCAGGATGGACGAGTCGCTCGATGCCTTAGCAGGTGCGCATTACTTCTCCACCTTGGATCTCCTCTCGGGGTTTTGGCAGCTACCCCTTGATGACGCATCCAAACCAAAGACGGCCTTTCGCACGCCGCAGGGACTGTTCCAATTCAACAGACTTCCCATGGGTCTTCACTCGGCCCCGGCGACGTTCCAGCGCCTGATGGAGCTGGTCCTCGCTGGGCTCCAGTGGGATTCTTGTCTAATCTACCTCGACGATGTAATCGTGTTCAGCAAAACTTTTGATGAACACCTCACGCGATTGAAGGCAGTTTTCCTTAAAATGCGAACGGCTAACCTCAAATTCAAACCGCAAAAGTGCCACCTCATGAGGGATTCGGTTCGTTATTTGGGCCATATTGTCAGCCGCTCGGGAATTGCCACGGACCCCGAAAAGACAAATTGCGTGCACTCATGGCCAACTCCTACCTCTGTTGGGGAGGTGCGGAGTTTTATCGGCTTCGCCTCATATTATCGACGATTTGTTGCGGGATTCGCATCCATCGCGAAGCCCCTCCACGCATTAACGGCCAAAGGGGTCAAATTCCGCTGGGGAGAGTTAGAACAGGCATCTTTCAATGCCGTCCGAAAAGCACTGGTCGATGCTCCTACCCTGTCTTATCCAGATTTTACCACTCCGTTCATTTTGGATACAGACGCCAGCAACACCGGAATTGGAGGGGTGCTGTCGCAAATTGTCAATGGAGTGGAGCGCGTCGTCGCCTATGGCAGCAGGGTGCTGTCGCCCGCGGAGCAACATTACTGCGTGACGCGCCGCGAATTGCTTGCTATCGTTTTTTTCATAAAGCAGTACAGGCCATACGTGTATGGCAGGCATTTCACAGTACGCTCCGACCATGCGGCACTACAATACGCCTTGCGAGTGGACCAACCATCTGGACAGCTCTCGCGTTGGCTCGAGATCCTCCAGGATTTTGCGTTCACTGTCATTTACCGCAAGGGGATTCAACACGGGAACGCCGACGGGTTGTCGCGACTGCCGAACAATGGGCGCTGTGCTTGTTTTTTGGGTGCGGGGCGTTGTAGGCAGCCTGACGGGGTACCGCCCCCATCCCTTGCGGCCGCAGCCGGGGGATGGGGTCGGGGACCACGGGGCTCCCTCCACGCAAGTTCCGCAGGACGCATTGTTGGGCCTCGGGTTGGACGACTGGGGACGTCTTCAGATGGAAGACGTCTCCCTCCTCAAATTGAGACGCCGTGCTAGGGATGCCGAGGGTCACAGGGGGCAGGGGGGCCCCGTATCATATGTCATCCGGGAAGGCGTCCTCATGCATTGGGATGGGGGGTCCCAATCCCACACATTGGTGGTGCCCACCTCCCTGCGGGGGCGACTTGTGTGGGAAACCCACAGTCGCCTCTTGCACTTGGGTGTTCAGAAAACACTAGCTAAAATCCAATTGGAATTTTTCTGGCCGGGCATGGCAAACGATGTGGCTGACCTTGTGCAAGGTTGCACAGAATGTGCATGGCGGAAACCACCTGCTAGGCCGTCCTGCCCGCCGCTCCAATCCATTAAAGTTTCCCGGGTCAATGAGATCGTCGCATTGGATATTTTGGGTCCGTTTCCCGCTACTCCTCGGGGTAGTAAGTACCTTTTGGTTGGGGTCGAATATTTTACCCGATGGGCCATGGCCTGGCCACTCCCCAACCAGTCTGCAGCAGCCATTACGGAGGCCTTTTTCCAGGGCTACGTCCTGGACAAGGGTGCTCCCGAACGCCTGCTGACCGACCAAGGGAAAAATTTCTCTTCCACGCTGTTGCGGGATGTGTGCAACCTGCTAGGGACACACAAAATTCGCACCTCGCCATATCACCCCCAGACTGACGGTATGGTCGAGCGATTACATAGGACACTTACCTCCATGCTAAGCCACCAGGTGTCTGAGTCACAGACTGATTGGGATCTCCACATACCTGGTGTCTTGGCCGCCTATAGAATGGCGCCCCATGCTGCCACGGGGTACTCGCCATTCTATCTTATGTATGGTAGGGAGGTTTGCCCCCCAATCGACGTACAATTGCACATTAAACAGCCCGCACCTAAGGCTAAGATTGCCGACCACATCCGTGCTAATGTGCGTTGTCTCATGGATGCCCGGGAGGCTGCTCAAAATAACTCAGAAGCCCGTCAGCTTGCCAACGAGCGGTTGCGGAATCTCCGCACATCCCGCCACGTTTGGGTGGAAGGGGACCGCGCCTGGCTCCACTGCCCGCAGGTACCATTGGCTACTTCCTCAAAACTGCTTAAGCCTTGGAGAGGCCCGGTTGTTATTATTCGCGTTCTCCGCCCGCAGTGTGTCAGGATCCAGCATGGCAAGCGACGTTGGTTCGTGCACCCGTCACGTCTAAAACCTTACATTCAACCCTACACACCTCCTTCACTTCTCCGGGGCCGAGAGCGCGACATGTCTGACGAGCCGCGCCGCTATGATGCTGCTTCTAACTCTCGGGCAGGTCCCGCTGTCCCGCCCTCAGGTGCCTTGGGAATGAAATCCGCCTCAGCCGACCAAGCGGGAACAAGCTTGCCCGCGGGATCAGCGACCCAGGACACAAGCGCAACAGCGGGTCGTCGGTCCCCTCCCGCCTCCGTCGCGACCGATGGACCTGCCACTCGGACTCGCTCAAAACTCAAAGATTTTCATGACCCCCGCCCACGAACTCTCGTCCCAACGCGACGCCACTCACCTTGCCATCATGTATAGTGGGCGATTGGGGCGTGCGTTCATCCTGCATATATGTGTTTATACAGTGTTGTTCTGCATCGGTGACCACAGGAGGGGGAGAGGCGCTTTCTTCTCATTTTTTTTCTTGATTGTCACACACTCATTCTGATGGTTAACAAATAATTTCTTGTACAATTGTATTTTTTTTTGACAGCCGGGTCGGCTGGAGGCTACGTAGAGGGGGGTAATGTAGTGACATAAGAAGGGAGGGGCTGCTGTAGGCTCTGGGTTCCCAGGTGGGTCCAGACGCGTAAGCCTCTGGGCGCCAGGCACTGGGTTCCCAGGGGGTCCAGACGCTTTTAAGCCTTTGGGCGCCAGGCGTTGGGTTCCCAGGCGCTTAAGCCTTTTTGGCGCCGCCAACGGGGGGGGGGGGGGGGGGGCTGTGTGTGCTCTGTGGGATGTCTGGTGGCGCACACGGCCCCACCCCTCGTCGGACCAGGCATAAAAGGAGAGCTCCCTGGACGATCGGGGCCCAGTTGTAACTCAAGACGCAAGACCCACGACCAGCCATCTGAAGACCCTGGGATGCTGTGAGAGCCAGCGCTGGGACTCTGGAACTCCCGACGCTACGACCTTGTGAGGGCGAGCGTAGCCAGAGTAGAGTATCTAGAGTATCTAGGCTGTGTAGCTAGGCTGTGTACCTAGGCTGTAACAGAGTATCAGGACTGTTGGAGTGTTGTATTGTAATAAAGAAGTTACATCTACAAGTGTCTCCGGAACCCGTTACACTACTATAGAGTCAGAAGATACTACGATAGAGTTAGTAGTTACTACTATAGAGTCGGTAGATACTGTTGTGTATATACCCCCTTTTTAATTTTTTTAATATTATTCTTTTGATAAGAATTATTCTGCCAACATATATAATATCGTTTTTTTAATAGACACGGGGCAACGTGGAACGAACACGCCCCCACACTTCCACAGATGCGCGCATACCTCACCTCAAAGGGCTAGAGGGCATGAAAGAGGGCAATAAAGATCATAAAAACTCCCCTAATTTCACACAAGAGGAACAAGGGAGGGGGGAATGGCAGGCGGGGGTTAGGATGACATCCTTTCGTTAAAAGCCTTATAAAAAAAAGACCCTTTGATAAATACAAAACCAGGCCACGAAATATATAATTATATTCTTAACAAAGGAAACAACATTGACGACAAAAAGCACAGACGGGTTTTTGAACCATGTTAGATACACAAAGTTACCAACTTAGTCATGAAGATTAAGCAAACAGTATCTATCCTCACTCCAATTGGAAACCAGACTACAGCCTGCACCAGAATCGCGACCCATCATTGTTAATTAAATACTGACATTATTTACCTTTAAAGAATTTCTACACGGCCGGGCCGAAGCATCAAAGAATAATTATGGCATCTATTTCGCTCCAAAACAAAATTCCTAGCCGGGATATCAGATTCACAAGAAGTCAAATAATAAGTACGGAATTAAAGTGGATCTCCTAGAGGAGCTAAGGGCGGAGAAGTCTCTCAAAATTAACCAAACTCAACACCCCATGAGAAGCGAGCAACACGGCCGTCTTTGTCTTTCCGAGAGGATCTCCACACGCAGGCACAAAGCCAGGAAATGGCCCCATAAAGAACGTAGCGCGCGAGCAACGACTCGAGAAAGGAAATTAATAAATAAAACACGTGCAGGGCGTTCCAACATGGACAGCAGGATTTGCACACGCGAGCAAATAACATTTCCATGGGAGATCGGGTCACGATGAAACATCGTGAACACGGTTTCGGCATAACTTGGGCATAATGGAACTAAGAGCATTTCAACTTCAAAACCAAAACAACTTAAGCTGTGTGAGACAAAAGATAACGCCCAGAGCAAGGGAGGGAATAATTAAGCTCGCTTAACGCGTAGGTTTTCGCGACAAATATTATTCAGAAACAAAAACATGGATTAGAATATTTTTTTTATAACTCGATGCGAACACGAACTCGGTCTGGTTAATGGATAACTTAGGTGGCGCCGTCGCGAGGCCCCCACCCCTCCTTCCAGAATAATTACACAGCTGTGTCTTCAAAGCTAATAAACGAACGGACGAACACGCCCACAATGCACACGAACAAAGAGAAAGTTATATGACACAGCCTTTGAACAAACTCGGGAACACTAGTGGATTTTCCCGATATAAGCAAAGGCAAAATCCATTAAAAGCATCTCGGCTCCGGGGCTTCGGCTCCACCACAGATCGTCAGGGGCTCTGGGCCCCATCTCGTCAAGGGCTCCGGCTCCACCACAGATCTTCACGAGCTCCGGCCTACATCTCATCTCGTCTCCGGGCTAAGAGATCTCCAGGGCTATAGCCATCTCTCCTCGTCGCCTCCAACGAAGAAGCTCTCGTCATCCAGAAGGACGAGGCTCGTGGGGTGGCGACGTGCATCACCTTGACGTGCATCGCCGAGGTGCTCGCCTGCCGCACACGAGTGAACGAGCCAGCTCCCTTGTCGCCACCACGCCGAGATGCTCGCCTGACCACGCAAACGAGCGCGGCCGCGCCGTCAATCTTCGTACGGGCTCAGCCGAGGAAGGAGACGGAAGCAGCCGATCACCGCAGCCGCGCCAGCCAGAGGGCCCTTCTCCGAAAGTCGTTCGTACCCACAACTTCCCTCACCTAGGCTCACACGCGCTCGCGTCGACGCCCACCCCCCTGTGAGACTATCTATTTCGTCTTTACCATCATATCAACCCTACACAATTATCGGAAGACTGATTATCAATTACATGAACCATCAGCTGGCCATGAGGAATCGTGGCCCATCGAGTGATTAAGAGTCCGTCGGTTATAAGAGTGAGGTTGTTTTCCGTGCCTTTCCCTTGTTCCGCTCATCACATAGGTGATCAATAGACTTGTCGAGGCAAACTCAACCTCTCGAAATCCTCATTACGAATCGACCCATACACAGAGAGAAATACCTTGTCAAACCAGTTCTTTTTTCAGAGTCTCGCCGAAGAATTAATTAAAACAGAGCCAGATTCGCTCTCACACCTCCAACACACGCCTCACGCACCATTGTTTCAAACCTTCTGTTAACAGATGTAATCTTGCCGACGAATCGATTGAAGTATGCTTCGCTTTCGGGGTACAATAAGTGCTTTTATTACCGCCATATGAAGAGTGTCATGCTTGTTTCAAACTCGGCCAGTCGCCGATTGTGATCGATACATGGGGAAACTAATGAGATGCCTGGTAGAAAGGTAGAGGTTACGATTGTTAGGAGGGTTTTTAGTCATTCGGTTCGTTAAATGCATAATCTCGCAAATGCATAAGAGTTTTAGTTATTCATATTAGTTGAATGCATAATCTCGCAAATGCATAAGAGTTTGGTTATTCAATTTAGTTAAATGCATAGTCTCGCAAATGAAGAAGTATTTTTAGTTATCCATTTTCGTTAATTGCATAATCTTGCTCATGAATTTATTGACGCATGTTTGACCTGCATGTTAGAATGTCACATGTTGTTTAGAATCAAATTGTTATCACAGAAGCATATCGAGTGTTCCTTCCGAGTCCATGCAAAACTGTCTTATTCTTGAGAACTGTATCCTGTGATGAGATCTGAAACTGGAGACCTAAAATAACTAAAACACACTAAGATAATCGGTAAATGTTTAATCGATGATAATCGTGTTACCCTGATTGATACAACTCTGGAAAAACGAAACTAAGCCTAATTATCATAACTGCACACATTAACATAGTCGCAAGCATCCGCATAAATTACTACGATTATCTCCGTGATTATCATAATTTAAGCATATAATTACTCACATTATCATAATTTATGCATGTTAATACGCACATTAACATAATTAATGTGCTTTGCGCATTTTTCTGAAATTATTAATTTTTATTATTTTTATCAAAATTTCATAATACAACACATGTACAACAATACTACTATAGGGCCAGTAGATATGTCAGTCGTTACTACAGTCAGTAAATACGATACAGTCAGTAGCTTCTACTGGCTCAGTAGATACTACTGTCCAGTCAGTAGATGCAACTACAGTCAATAGATACGACTTACTCTGTTGTATGTAGGGTGTGTCGGTATACATACCCATGCGGGGGTAAAACTACTTCTTGAGGAGGGAGGGGGGGAATCGACAATTTTCAGAAACCTTTTATATCAGCTATTCACCCCCACTTTCTATAACTTTTTGGACTTCTGCAAGCCTCTTATAATTTTGTTGGTGGAGAAATGGACAAACGACCCACCGGGTTTCACAATAGTTTAGTATCTGTGAATATAATGTTTTTAAGAGAAGTTTTGAAATATCTTTTTCGCCCGGGCAACGCCGGGTACTTCCCGCTAGTCTTCTTTTCTTATATATAAAAGTCTCCGCGTGCGGGCTTGAGAGGGACGCCCTAAGCCCCGCGGTGGGAATAGGCTATTCCTTTTTCACGTCCGCCACCTTTAAATTACTTAAATTAGCGATTTTGTGGGATTTCGAAATATTTATTTATTGCGCGGCATCGACCGTACCAACTTCACGCCTATTGGGTGGGGGGCGGACCCTGCCAAGTGATGTGCGTTCGGTTGAGCTCACGGGCGACATTTTCTTTCGTTTCACATGCAATAAATCTACACATAACGCTGTGCATATTTCTTCACAGTGTGATGCAGTTACTGCTATAAAGTCCGTAGATATTAATATTATTACAGCGCCGAGATAGCATTTTTTAAAATTATTGTTTATTATTAAACAAATACGTTGGCAGATATTACAATGTTTGTGTGCACAAAACAAATTTTTCATTATTAGGTTGCTAAATACATATTCCCTTTTATAGCTGTGCTTTTATGACGCTGCGAGGGTGTACTG